TGAGCTGAATTTTCAACAGAACCTGCTGAAGTGTTACAGAAATTCAGATCAATTAAAATGCCCTAAAGGGCTTTCTCTCCACTTTCAATCTTACATGTTTCCTGGTTCTCTTCGAATTGTACTATTCCTAGAATTTACTAATTAAAGACTGGCTTGCTTGCATGATATTTTTAATGTTAGCAGCTTCACTTCCATAATATCTAAGAAAACATGTTGTATTGCAAGTCTTCATTCCTCAGAAATGCATCTACTTCCATGGGGAGAGATGAGAGTCAAAGCCATACATTTTTTTCTTCCCCACTTCAGTATTTTTTTATTTTTCTTTCTCCATACCCTCATTTTTTCACTCTAAGACCCCCTGAGATGGATGCTAAAATACTGATAAGACCTGTGCACTGCCAAAGGTGGTGGCTTCCAAGTCAGTAAATGTGAAAGAGGTTATGATATGATTAAATCTATTGCTTAAAAGATGAAACTAAGCTGCTGCTGGTAATAGAAAGTCATAGAGTCACAGAGCATGCACAGCTTTATCATTTCTGTTGAACAACATCATTATTCTGGGCTTTTAGACAGAAATTGTTGAATGTTCTACCAGATTTTCACTCAGGAATTATTCTTCTGGAAGATGGGGCTAGAAAGTTGTGATCATAGAATGTAGTTCAGTTCCTCATATCGTTAAGTCTCTTATATTAGACCAAACTATTCCATGACAGCTTCCAATTTCTCTTAGACAAATGGCTGCTTAGGTGAATACTGTGGAAACCATGAAAAAACACTCACAAAGGAAAACAAAGACTTCTAAAAGGGTACAAGGGCCAGCATTTTTCTTGGCATATTACAGTGAATTGTAGTTAATTCTCATGATTTTATTCAATTTCTCATTTTTCCTTGCAAGGCATATTTTTCCTCCAAGAAAGGATGACCCATGAAATGGCTTTGCTTGACCTACCCTAATCCGCACCACAATAATTTCAATACTTAATAAACTTACTCTTGCTAATAGTTGGAACTGCTGCTTTATTGTTTTATGGTCTTGGATTATGACCTGGATAGTCCTAATCTTAGAATCAAAACATGCTTGGTAATGAGAGGAAATATCAGGATAAGCTTAATTGACTGTAGGCGAGCAGCTAAGAACACAAACATCCAGGAACATGTCCAGTGAAACTCTTTCTTGCCTACAGCTGGGGCTGAGTACTGGAAGGCTGTGTGTTTTTGGAGATACTGAATCTACAGTGAAGGAAAATAACAAAGTCACAACACACTTTATATTTTAAGCCACATAATTTTGTGTCCCTTCTCTGGGCACAACTGTCCTGTGGATTTTCACACCTGACTAGTTAATCAGTGAGGAGGAGGGGAAGCTTCTAAAGGAGATTATTTTTGATTTACTCTTCTTTACACTTCTCTGTCATCAAGTAAGTAAATACAACTCCTTAGCAAGACTTCCTCTAATATCAGTCACAATTTATGTTACTTAGATTCTGCTAATCTCAGGCATATATTTTCTTTTGATGTTTTCCAGATATTCTAGAAATGATGTTGAAACCTTGAAACTTGATTATGCATTGAAACTTTGGGATACTGACCATAGGCTGAAGGTCCACAGTGGCCACCAGTGGCACTGCTGTGGGGAGGGTAGCAGAGATGCTCTAATATGTACCAGTTGTGAATCTATGTTCTGTGCAGCCAGGCAGAAACTTGCTGGAATATTTTGAAGCATTAGTTCACATTCATTTTACTTATACCTCTGGAATGTATATGGAATGTATATGCCCATAATGATTTGTTTACTATGAGGTTACGAAGAGGCAACATGAAGAGACACAATGGGAAATAATAGTTGTGTGGAGATCACAGGCCCTATCCATACAATCTTTCAGCTCTCATCTGTGTTCAAGTCCAAGGAATGTATCTCAATTATTTTCACATCATACTTTCCAAAGAATGTTTTCCCTTTAGAAAGCTGCTGATCAAAATAACCAAAAGATAAAAATCAAGTTGTGCAATGATTTCCTGTTACAACTTCTTTTTTTTTTCCCCAAATCTTTAATGTCTGAAAACCTTGCTTTGAAAAACTAAAAAGCAAACAAACAAAAGCTACAAAACCCCTTGGAACTTGGAATATCTAATCATAAAATTAAGGACTGTGCAAATCCCTAAATACCTTTAAATTATTATTTGATGAACAAAATTAAAGAGAATGTGGATATCTATGCAATTTTGTTTCCTCCTTGAAATTCTGTGAAGGGAGAAATATGTTGTGTTTCAACCCAATCTTCCTGCTGGGCAGCATCCTGTGCTAGAGAGACAAATACAACTGCATGAGATGATTACCCTCTCTATTACCCTAATCTAGTGTTTTACAAGTCATCAAATCCAGGTACTTAAGCACCTGTTTGGCCCTTATCCTAGGTCTTCATAGAGAGAAGGAGAGACTAAATATGTGCTGAATTGACTGTCTACCTCCCATTGTGATTGAAAAGACATAACCAGAGTCCATTTCCCACTCTGGTTTCAAAACCCATGAATTCAGTGGAATCACTCTGGATTATAAATGTCATCCTTGGGAGTAGAAAATGACCTTGTCCCTCTTTCCACCACAAAGATCCTCTTTCCAGCTTTCCCATGTTGAGCAAGGACAGATTGGCATGTGCTACCACTGCACATTTCTCTCCCAATTACCCATTTCCTCTCTGTGCATTTTTGGAACAATGTGTCATGCTCTGAAACCTCACATACCTGAAACATTTGGAAACACTGAGTTCTGGACACATCTGGTTATTAGATTTGAGATGGCTGCCCCTTCTGTGAGGAAAATCCTCACAACTGCATTAGGAAATTCCATTAAATTTTCCCCCTCTATGTTAAAATTTTGCCTCAAATATTTTACTGCTTAATTTATTAATAAGCAAGTTTTATAGTAGCCATGGAAAACACTGCAGAAATGTAAATGAAAAATATTTTTAGGACAAGGATGAAAAATCATCTTCCAGGTGAAACATGTATCCCCCACAGCTAAATTCAGTGGTAGAGATTGCCATCCACTCTATTGAATGCTCAGTGGCAGGTTATGACCTTTGGAAAACAGATCTGTAGATAGATAGAAATAATGTTTTTCTGTATACTTTTACTGTGATCATTTGTGTGTGTGACCATATGATCAGCAAACACCTTCTTGTAAAGTTATAGTGTGAACAGCTTGAGAAACCTGTTGGTTGATTTCAGCCTGCTGATGTTTGACATCAAACTGGCACACAGAAGGGCTCTTAGTACAAGCTTCATCATCTGTTCTTAGGAATTAGTAGAACACTGTCTTTAGAAATTCTTTACTCTCCTCTTCTTGCTTGGAAAAATATTTTTCCCATACTAGCAGACTGTAAATGAGAGGCTGGCTGCTAACTTAAACTCTGAATAGCCTTGCTAGAGCTAGCAAAAAAATTGTATGCCATTGAATTCTCTGTGTTATTAGGCTTTTATCAAGAGGTGTTCTTTCTCCTCTGAATTTTAGGCATGACGCTATTTCCACTTTGGATAAAAAGCCCCACCCAACCCATTAAAAGGTATTAGAAAATTATCAAGCATCCACTTATATATAATCTCCTCTGTTTATAATTTTTTTCCTTCAATTAACAAAAATTTACTTCTCTTTTTGAAAAATAAGGTCGATAGTACAAGTTGTTATAAAAAAAATTACCTTCCTTTTACATTTTTCTCTCTGAAAAAAATATCTGTTTATTTTATTAATTCATTAGGTAGTAAGCTGGAGATCAGGTAAATGATAATTAAGGTAATTTGTAAGTGCTTTTACTTCTGGTAAATGGATGAGGAACTAATCTCCAGTTACAGCAATGGCAGCTTTTACTAACTATGAGCCAAAAGGCTAAGGATATGTCTGAGCTAAGTGGTTGCTGTGCCTGCCTGTGACAAGTTGTGAATTTAGGGCTGAACTAAGTTTAAGGATAGTGGCAGAATTAGGAAAACAGTCCACAGGAGGGGGTGGAAGAGATGTACCAAAATCTTGTACAACTTCTGTTTCTATAGATTATTATGGACTTTAATATTAAAGATTTAGCTGGGTTGCTGTCCTATTGAAGGGAATGGAAATATTTACACAGTTGGTGATTGTACTGTATCAGTATCTTGCTGAAGTAGTGCTCAACATATTTAGAAAAAAAAGAAATTACTATCACCCTGGAAGTCTATTTACACGTGCTACCTTTTCTCATGGCCTGTTGCCCAACAGCTGCACTAACAAGAGACATTATCAGCCCTAATTGTCCTTCACCTCCCTCCCTGCTGGAAGGGACCAATCTGCTGACTGAGCCAGGGTTGTGTTTCATTTTAAATGGCATTGGTTAGCTTAAACAGTGGGGTTTTGCTAACTTGACTCTTTTAGACTGAAATTAATTAGGGTGCTTGCTAACCTTCATCCCTTAAGCCAGCTGCTTATGGACTCCATGTGTGTTCACATCCTCAAGCACAGTGTAAGTAATTTCTATAGGTCAATAACAAACAAAAGCTGAATTTGATAAAGGATGTTTTCATATTTTGAATATTAATTATAGTAGTAACAAATATAACTGGGTAACACAGTGGCCAAATAACAGGCTACAGTCTATTAAATGCATTTTTTTGTTCCTACACACACTGCAAAGTATGATAGGACCAGTAAAGTGAGTAAATGTGTTAACAATAATTTAAGCCCCAACAACTAGAAAAAAAGGAGATAAAATCTAGTTTATTAATGCATAAATTATTATGCATTAAAATATCTTTATTTATGCATAAAACTATGCCCTTGCTATATTGTTAAAATGGCAAGACACAGGAAGAAAAACCAGCTGAAGCCAGTTCTTGTAGAGCTTGGCATTTGTAAGTGGTGTCAGGGCTTAAAAGAGTTTCCTCCATTCCATAATGTGGCAGCTGGATTTTGAAAGCAGAGGACACTTCTTTTTCTGGTGATAGTAAGGATTTTTTTTCCTGTTCTTTCTTTCCAGTGAAGAGCCTGTTTCTCTCTCATGTGCACTGGCAGATGGGGTGAGTGTGAAAACATTTATTTTTTCCTTTTGCACTCAGCATTCACTGCAGCGTATGGTAGCCAAGAAAGCAATGAGTGGAAGGTGAGAGTGCTCAGTGACAGTGGCCTCCTGGAGAACCTGGTGGCCATGGCCTCTCATGCACTGTACCAGAGCAATGTGTTCCTTTGTAGATTTCTCTGCCTTATAAGATAACCTTTGCATTCTGGTCCTATGTCAGTTTGTGTCTTGAAAGAACTCTTCCAGAAAAGATAAATTTTACCATAAATACTGGGGAGATGTGCTTCAGAGGTCTAGGTCTGGGTATAAAAGCTCAGACTCTGGAACGTGGCTGGAGTGTTCAAAGTGGTGGGGCATTGCTGAGCACTCAGTTGTTGCGAGACTTTGAGATGGCCAAGCTCCACTTACACAAGCACCTAAATGTCTCCTGTTCTTAATTTGGGTGTGCTGTGCCTCCAGCAGTTTTCCCCTTCCTCACAGCTGGGGGATTCAACAACCATTACCAAGTGGTTGCTGGAGGTTGCTGCCAGGGAAGGATAGTGCTCAAAGGGGGGATGTGTAGCTGCTAATAGCTCACTCAGAGTGACCTGTGGGAGACACCAGTCTCCCAAACTTTTTCTTAGAGCAAAATTGGGACTGCCATGTGTCTGCCTGGGGCAGTGACTCATGGCTTGGGGTGCATGGTACACCCTGCAACTGTGGGGCAGTCCTTTGCCTGCACAAAGTGGACTCTGACTCCCTGCCATCCAAGGACTCGTCAGTGCAGTTTAGCCACTGTCTTTGTCTGGACAACAGTTTAATTAGTTACTGAAAGTGGCATCAGAAAGACTGGGATTGCTCCCCTCTCCTCCACCCAGTATTGCTCCAGAGTGGGATAGCTGTGCTGCTGTCAGGGATGAGAGTTCATATCCCTTCCAGGGGAGGACCATTGAATCCAAATAATCACTTTCTGCATGAGAACAGTTTGAATTCTCGAAACTTTCAGAGGATGAACCTACCAAACACACTGAGATTCAGCAAGTGGCTGCTTCTGGAATAGTGCTTTTTTAATGGTGCTGAATCTCCCATTGACACCAGTCGCAGGTTTCTTGGGATTGAGTAACCTGGAGGAAATCTGTTCTGCTTCAAGTAAAAATGCATTGAGGCAAGCCAGCTAATGGGAAAATTCATGTTCTTTAGATGATGTAAATCCTGGGAAATAGAATTACAATATATAGTGTATACACTAGATGGCAATGTAATACCTGTATAAAGAGGTTACCTCCAAATTCAATAAAAAGTGCTTTCAGATAGGTATTACGAGCTGTTTCAAAGTAATAGCTTTACCTGAGCCCTTTTACAGTGAGCAAATATTCTAACACAGGGTAAAACACAGGACCAATTTGGATCAGTAAAGGACCACTGAATTAGTGTCTTGCTTGCTCTCATTCGTTAAATATTTTTCAGAAAAGTGTATTTATTTGTCACAGAGTTTAATAATTATTTCAGAATGTAAACTTGTTAGTATGTAGTTTGACCTTTGTTAGGTTTTGCATCTCCTATCCCGATCTGACCCTAGCTCAAATAGCTTTGAAAGATCCTTCCCGTATATTCCCTTTAGAATACTTTAGACACTGCAGATGTTCCCTTTTCATTTCCTCTTTTTTTGTCCGATGAGCAAAAGCGCGTGAAATAGCTTGGTAATGTTTCTGGGACATAATGAATTTCTGTTGCATGTATATATCAGGTTCATCTCTATCTCAGATTTTGCTGTACCTCTCTGGATTTAGCCCAGGTGTGGATAAACATATACTGTACTTTAGCTTTTCATATATTTAGGTGATTGCCTCATTCATCTAGAACCAGTGCTGAACATTCAATAAGGCTTTGTACTGAAGTGAGAAGCTTTTTCTAAACTGTTGTATGGGTTTTTTTTAAGGAAGTTTTTGTTTTGCTTTGTTTTTCAGTTGTTACTATTTGTTTTTATTGTATACAATTTAAATAAAATTTAAGGAACACCTGTTCTCCTGAGCTCATAGCAGAAATATTAATTGATTCTTTTGTAGCACTGTTATCATAAAGAATCAAACAGGGAAATTGTGTTGCAGCTTTTAAATGATAACAGAAAAAGTTGATATTGCAATTCTAACATGTTGACCTTTTAATCTAAATTTAGATTCAATTCATCCCCTTTGCAGCTGGTTTTGTTTTGCAATCATAATTAAATTCTTCTTTGTGAAATTCCTGATGTTGTTTTCAGTCAATGAAAGATTAGTGGGACACTCCAGGTGGTTTACTTCAGTATATGTGGTGTCTGTGCATGAAGAGCTGGAGTAACAGAAGGCAACTGTCAGTAATCCCACATGACCCCTAAGAATCCATAATGTCAAATATCAGTCTCTATCCCAAATAGCTGCTCAACTTTGTTTTTCACATTTTTATTTTCTGTCTCCCAATTAATTCTTCTGGTATTCCCCCCTGAGAACAGTCTCTTTCTCTCTCTGCTTATTATTTCCGTTCTATACACCCATCTGCTTTTTTAGTTACCTTTTCCTTCCTCCTTTCTCACTGTATAGAACATACAGGGAATAGGAACTTATATATTGGCTTAAAGGGACTTAAAGGGACTTAACAGAAATACTTAGATATTCTTTTCATCCTGGGGTTGGTTTATTGGTATTACCATTTCTTTATACCTACGCTTTGACCCTGTCACTTGTTCAATTGATCATTTGTATTATCAACAGGGCAGATGAATGTAAATGTACACATTAAAGTACAGAAATGTGCAACATTGCATTTCATGCATGGCTAATTGTTGTCTTGTATTTATCCTGACTGTACCTGCTATACCATTATACATGGCATGTACGATGGTATGACAGGCTGGAAAGGGAATGGGCTGGAAAGGGCCTCAAAGATCATCTAGTTCCAGCCCCCTGCCATAGACAGGGACACCTTCTTAAAGCCACGTATAACCTGGATTTGAACACTTCCAGGGATGGGGCATCTTCCTTCTTGTTGTCTAATGTGATGAAAGCCTCCTGTGCCATGCTTCCTTCCTTACGCACTTTTCCAGCAAGGACCTGCTCTTGCAGTCGAGGTTGATAGTGGACCAATCCTTGAACAGGGACTTCTATTACAAACCAGCATGAGTCTGTGTTGTGCTGCAGTATTTCTTGCCTCAGGGCTTTCTTTTAAGGTGAAGCAGAAAGTGAAAACTGAATTGATTCATTAATTTATGGAAAATGCCTTCCCTAGCTTGGTAGTATGGCCTTAGATAAAAGTCAGCTGAAAATTCTCTGTGAAATCCTTTTGGTGTTTTTGATTGCTGAAGGGACCACAGAATAAATTCCTCCCTTCCTAACGCTGCGCATACCATTGGGAATCTTTCATTGGAGACATTTTATTACTGTCATATTTTCAGCAAGTTAAAAATACAATTTTTTAAAGCTTATTATGTATATATTAAAAATATCCCTGCTTTGACCACAGCTGGTTAGAGAATATATTTTAGCATCTGTTATTTAATTTATGTTTTGATTTGACTCTTTGACAGAAAGTTGTTTGTCCTTTTGGTTTCTGGGTGAGAGTTTCCTTTGGGGTATAATGTTAACAGCCTTGGGTAAAAGATATCTTCATACCTGCATATAGAGCAGAAGATGACTATATTAAAGGGATTAATTTTACACAAGTTTTTCACAGAACTGAGCACCAGTCTTTGCTTGAGTGTAGAAAAGCAAGGCAACCTATGCAAACTGATTGTTTCACTCTATAATTTTGGAGCTATAATCTTATGTCATCAGAATATCCTATATCAGACAAATTTCCATGCTTTATAAGCTACTGCACAGTTCCAGGTGTTGGAAAAGAGCAGAAGCCATTCCATATGTTATTGTATTTTAACATATAAAGAATGTATATTAAGTAAGGAGAGAAAGGTCAGTGTAATTGGTTTAGCCTCCAGACATAAGTCTTCTATATAACTAATTTTCACAGTTTTTACTAGCAAATTCTGCAAAGTGGTTTTCTTAAGGAAGAGGGGAAAAATTTGCTTCACTGGTAAACTGATTTGATTCCAGAATTACTGACTTATTGGGATAAAAATGAAAACTTGATTGTGTCCCTCTTTGACCAAAACCTCCCAAGATAAATCAAAAGTAAGAACCATCTAGTAAGCCATTGATGAATGAAATGCTAAAATAATTGTTTTGCAGTGGAATGTCAGCCCATCTCTGTCACTTACAGAATCTCAGCCTATAATATAGTGCTTTACAACTTCCAGCTGAAATTTCGTTTTCATTTTGTTACTTACAGTTCTTTATGTGAAACATAACAAATCTGATGTGAATTGTCTCCTTTTCTTTGCTGTAAGAAAGCCAGCCTGTGGTGATGGTTGCAGTAGCATGTATTTGTTTCCTGTTTAGGTTGGAATTTACACTGGCCCACCAAGTGTTAGGGTTGGTTTTATTTTCCTTCCTTTAAATTCAAAGCCTTCCCCATAAAGGTTTTTATTTAATTATGGGGTTCTATTTCCTAAAATGAAAATGGTTGTTGAGATAGATGCAGAAGATTTGCAGTGGGAACTTTTGTCTAGTTACAATGTTCAGATTGGACAGCTTTCTTATTTGACTTTCTATTTTCTAGATTAAAATGCAATAACTGTGGAGTGAGTTAAAAACCTAATCTTGAGCAATTTAGCACGAAATGCCCACAGTACTTACGGTGCTTTGCAGAGCTCTTAAGCTGAGCAGATGCAGCAGCTGACTGAAATTCCTGGAGAGTAAAGCCATTGAGACTATTACCGTGAAAGCAAGACGTCCAAAAATCTAAGTGGTAATAATTTTCATGTTCACATTTCCAATTTTTTGACCAATGTTTTTTGGAGAAAATCTTGCAACCCTTTGTTGAGCAATTGTTTCTTGAAGCATTTGCGTTTGCCTTGACGTCTTGGCTTATTCAGGGAGCCTGCTTTGTGAATGAGCTCATCAAAAGCCATGGTGTCTGGAAGTCAGACTTCCA